TTTTTGTCGGTGCAAAATAACTTTGAAGCCATTCTAGAGCAAATTAAACCACTACAATGTCTCTATTAGGAATACAATTGTGCAAATTAATGAATCAAATCTGCATTACTTGGGACTTGGATTTATTTATAATAATGTTGGGCTGTGTAGAAAAATGCTATATCAAAAAATACGTTTTTTGTGTCGTATTTGATTTCCATAAAACTTGTAATGTTGACTGTGAATAATAGCAACTGTCTCTGTAATGTCCTAATAGAAGTGGGTTCATTTACGGCTATATGGTTGTGTCGTCGTCATTTAAACATCAGAAATCATTAATTGTTTTCTATTATTCCATATTCAAAAAAATGACCCCTTTTTTTCTTCATTTCATCTTTCATTCTGAATGGCTTTAGAGAACAAATTATTTTGTTTGAGTTAGTGTTTAACCTGACTTGACGTTGATAAGGACATTACAGAGACAGTTTCTTTTAGAGTTTTAAAATCAGACTACAAAGACACTGGCACTGAACAAAGAGGAATAGATTTAAATTTAAAGAGGTCTTGACTCCAAAGAAAGTGAATACATCAGCCTTTTAGTCACTTTCAATATAATCTTTATTGTGATTGGATGGAATAATAATTAATTATGTGTGTTATTCAATAAGAAAATATCAAAATCTAATCAACCACCCTCATTAATCCAGTAATTTAAGCTGAAGCATTCCAATTTTCAAATAATGATTAAACATAGAATATGATAATAATTACTAATTTCTCCTAATTTTTGCAGGAAGTTTCGACCTACTGCCAAATCTCGTGTCCGAGTTAATTAAATCTTTTGTAGGTAAAGTGGCTAAATGTATATTGATATTTTCTTTATTTTCCAGTTCACATCTGCATTGTTAGTTAGGATTCTGAAGACAATTCTTTAATGAATTTATTCTCTGCTTACGCTTGCAGTGAAAACAGATGATATGATGTTGGTCATATATCTCTCATCCCTTATCTGAAGTGTGATTGCTCTATATAACTTGATAAACAACAAGGTGAGATATTCTTGAATTGTGCCTCAAAGTTTTCTATTTTACTGTCTGTTATTAATAGAACTACTAGATCTATATAAATTTTTGAACCTTGATGTTCATAGTGGATATTCAGTAATCTTTCTTATGCTGGGCTATATCTAATCATGTTGACAATTAACATATTGATTTAATGGTTATTGTTGGGTATATTAATGTCTGTTGGAATTAATGATTATGTTTATGAATCAATTGTAATGCATCATAATATGCTCCCAAGACTCTTGAATAATGCAATAAATCTTCAACATTTTTTCCTTTTTAACATCTACAGTTTCTACACTAACAAAAACACAATAAATACAACATTCTGCAACGCATGTAACAAGGACTAGTAGTAGTAGTAGCAGTAGTAATAATAATAATAATTGTATGTCATTTTTCTCAAAAAACACGATTTGATGTGGGCATTATAATTCTATTCCAATAAATTCTAATTCCAATTGAAGTGTAGAAAATCGGCCAAGAATATCGAGGGTACAAAGAAATTAGATTTATTTCAATTCCATAACCCACTTTAATAATTTGCTTATAATCAAATTGATTTACTAAGCACCAATACTCATCTTATATTAAGCATGAGTCATATAAATCCATTAGTTGATTTTAAATTTAATTCAAATGTTAAAACCCACCATAACTTTATCCACCAATTGATTTATATAACATGTTATTGCTGCTTAACATACGATGAGCATTCATGCTCAGTAGATCATTCATGTATGTATGTATGTATGTATGTGTGTGTGTGTGTAATTACTTTTAAGCTCATCCATACATGTAGCATCTCTTATTGTTAAATTAATTCATTTATTTTCAGTTTTAATAGATAAAATTTATTTATTATAAAATTTACTTATTTAGTTATAAGTGAACTTTTTAAACTTAACCAAATTTTCATGAATTAAAATACCTAATTTGTTAGGAAGCTATTTGATTGCACAAAAGTGAATGAAATGAATATGTAACTATCGTGGAGTCTTTAATTGAATTTAGACAATTGGACATTGACCTTGGGGTTGGAGTTGGGCTGAGGACTGAGGATGGCTGGGCTAAAGTGAGTGTTTGGGCTGACCTTGAGAATGAATTATTGGGAAATATATATAACTACAAACCTTTAAAAATACACTTTCAACCTAACAAACTCGTTAAATTTTTCTAAAAATCACTTTGCATTAATTAAATAGTTTTTATTATATACAATTTATAGTCTTGGTTACGTACTAGTTACAATCACATAACGTCACAATCATAAATTGAAATTTTTTTTAGATTATATTTTGTTATCGACCACGAATTATCAAATTAATTATTGATGACTTATTTCTTGATAACAAATTGGTAAAGACTTATTTTTTGATCCAATTATCATATTTACTTGATCATAATGTATTATTGATAAAAAATTATCAAACTAATTGATGACAATTTTCCAATTATTTAATCACAAATTATCCGTCAACTCCTTCACCTTACCCTATTCCCACCCCAAACCTACTCCACCACCTCCACCTCCACCTCCAACAAACACCACTACCACCATCGCATCGCCGCCACCACCACCTACACGAACACACCCACATAGCTGTTCTTCTTTCCTTGCAAAATCACCGCGCACCATAGATCACAAGAAGCGGCCCTGTTGAACAAATTGCAGGTAGCATCCCAGCAGATCACAAGAAGAAGCGACGTTGGTCGCCACTGTGCAATGTGCAAACGTGCTATTGAGCATTGCACAATGGTTGCCGCCAGTGGTGGGTGTGGGCGACAAGGACGAGGACCTATGGAGCTCAATTTTTGTGATATGGGGTGAAAATAAATTAGGGTTTGTGGTGTGGAGATCGGGTGGGTGGATGGGGCCGAGACATGCTCCCTATATCTACCATGATCTTCATGCCTTTAATATGCTAATTCGACTAGCAAAAAAGTTGACTGAATCTCGACAAGTGCCTACATTGTATTTCTAGATAATAGCCCAATGTGCTGCATGATCATCCATTGAAGCAGAGTATCGAGTCATCGCATGAATTACTGCTGAAATATGTAGGGTGCAATCACTTCTTCACGAGTTACTTATATCTCTATCACATCCACCAGTTGTGCATTGTGATAGCATTGGAACAACTTATATTTGTGCCAACACAATTTTCCAATTCTGAATTAAATACTGAGATTTATTTCAATTTTTTCTTGATGAAGTTTAAAGCCATCAGCTACTAGTTTCTCATGTCACTTTCACCGATCCGCTCGACTATGCTTAATCCAAACAACTATTTACACAACAATTTCTTCTTCTATGATCAATGCTTGGTGTTTTCGATGAAAACAAAATCTTGTGGAGACATATTAGGAAAGTAAATTGACAGCCTTAATTTGTGATATAATCAATTGTAATTTAGGATTGACTGTACAGCTCCACGCCTCTCGCAATGTATATATACCTTGCTGCATATGCAATTAGAATTTATAATAATAAGAGACGTGAAAAACTCTCTTTCTATTATTGTCGTTATGACCATCATTGTAACTTCTTATATTTACTTACGATTCTTTACCCACCATATATATCATTAAGCGGCTTTTAGCTTCTGCGTCAGTTTTCAAATTATAATAATTCTTTTTATCAATTTAATAATTTAATTTTTAAATGAAGTGTTTCAATAATTTCATCCATTTTCTTCTGTTGCACTTCTTCCACAACATAAAGTCACCAATGAAAAGAATGGATCTGTCTCTCTCTCCACCCACATAATGCTCGACAAATGACCTAACTACTTTAAATTTCGGGTGATATTCCCTCCAAAATGTTTTGTCTGCAATAGATTTTTTGGCCCCACATAACACTACAAAAATTCAAAGTCTACATTGCCATGTTACCTTATTAAAGTCTTACCAGAAATTAGTTATATAAAACTAAATTATTCCATGAAATAATGTAAGAGACTAAGCAGGGTCCCGTTTGTTTCTCATTAGTGTAAGATTGAGAATGAAAAATATAGTCGTTACGAACTCCACACAAGAGATAAAAATTTAAATATTATCTTGATGTGATAAATAACGATCATATTTTTTATTTTAATGACCAAATAATGGGAAACAAACAGGGACTAAGCAATTTTATAACTTAAATTATAAGTGAGATTTGGAGTCTGAAGAAGAAAAAATATTGTAGGTGCGTAGACTTTGGTGTCCGACAATCACTTTTAACCTAAAATCTTTGTTTACAAGTGCCATATAGTCAAAAGGATATATCTCACGGGACAAATAATTATAACAACATACCATGTTTTTCTCATCTAAAAGTAAATTAAATGTGATAAGAATAAAATTATATATTCATACTTTGTTTTCAACATATTATCTCAAATGCAAATCAGCTTCAGTTTGTCATGGAAAAAAAAGTTTTGATATGTCGAAATTTCTTAATTAGATAAAGGTAAAATTTAAATTTGGTTTTTATATGTTATTCTTAAACCGGTTAAATTTCCTCTTCTAACATAACGTGTTTAAAGCAAACAAAAGTTCTATATCCAACATAAATATTCGGTGTTAGATTTTTTTTATTAAAATAAAAATCTAATTTGTATGTGAGTGATGTACTGAAGACAAAATAAAAATAAAAATTCACGAGAGAAAGAATTCTTTAAAAGAAGGTACTTATTTTCATCTGGAAATTAAATTATACCAGAGGAATGATATTATTATATTTTGTATTCAACACGTCAATCACTTACATGCTAAATTTATTTTCAATCAAAGGCTTGATACATAAAATTTTCATAAAAGAGTAATTGTGATATTGAAATTCAACCGTTATATTCTCTAATACCATGTCGAACAATTTTCATCTAACTTTTAGATGAGACATGCTAATTATAACTTCGTATTGGAGCATCAAAAGTTGTAGACACAATTACTCATTTATAAAATATCGCGTTTCGGATTTTCGATTAAAAGTTAAATTTAAATTTTAAATAAAGCGGTTCAACAGTTGGGACAACCTGGATGAGGACTTGGGGGATACAACTTAACTTTCTTCTTCCTAGAAACATAGAAAGAAAAAAGCAAGAAATAAAAATGTATTCACATGAAAATCCCTTCATCTTCCTTCAGGATGCAAAGGAAAGAGTTTCAGAGTCCTATCTTCTTCCTCTTTACAGTATTCCTTACCCTTTTCCAGGCATTCAAATTTCCATGGTCTGCATTTTCTCTTGCCAGGACTCTCTTCCCTCCCCATGTCTCCCTACAAAATATATTCATTCATGTATGAAACAATTTGTCTTGAAGAGAGTAAGAAAGTTCCTATAAAAACTTAACCCATCAAAGAACGATCAAACTTATTATCAATATGCCCCCAAATCTTCAAAAGCATGATACAAGAACGAATTCTCTAAGAGCTCAAACTTTTAGACGAGATAGTTCAAAATTTTGACACGAGATATAGGTACATACCGCTGTTATTGGGATGGAAGAGGTGTCGATTATAGAAGGTGGTTTTCTTGCACAATGGCTAAGTCCTAGACTACTCCGCTTCTGCTTCTGTCGCTCGCGTGCTTTGTGGTTTTGAAACCAGTAAAACACATTCTTCCCCTCTATTTTTCCATACTTTGCCAGCTGCTCAGTAATTTGTTCAATCTGTTGTGCATTCGGCGTACGCATTCCCCCTCTATACAGCCTCTCCAATAGCCCTATCTGTTCTTGCGTTGGATTCCATCTTGTCCCACCAGGGTTTGTCTCCACCTGCAAAATTTTAAAATTATTCATCATCATACATTTATCTTCTTTAATCTTGCTCAATATTGTTCGGTCCAGTATTGTTCAGTCGAGGATAACATAACAACACGGACAAGTAGCTAGTAAGAGAGCCGAGGTATCTAGAGCATTGCCTGAGCTGATACTCTCTTGTGATCATCCAAGGATTCTATATTTCTACGGCCGGTTTCAGGTCTAATGAAACTCTTGAGATCGAATGGTTCAGTAATGCTGACACCAAGTATTTTGTTCTGATTCGGCCTATCGTGACATATGTCTCCACTATTGGGCAATTTGGGAGCAAGAGGACGCAAACGCTTGTACCCAAGCGTGAGGAATGGTTGTTCCTGCAACTCCCAGAATCCACGTGCAAGCTGATGCACCTTCATTGCTACTTAATTAAGTTCCCAATGAACAAAAATTGATGACAAAGTTTTACTTATATATAACAATATTGAAATCGGATCGAACGGGACAAAATAAAAGGAGAAAAAAGACACTGAAAAATTATGATGAGATTGTGCCTAAAAGAACCAAGACCAAATGATGAGATGAGGTTGACTTTAGATTTT